TTTTTTATTCAAGATCATCCATCACAATCATCACCAGCGTGTCTCTGTTGTTAAAACAATTTACCATAAAAAGGTTCTTTTCATCCAGCTGGAGACACGGTCCTGAGCAGTCCAGTCCTTGCTCTCACTCATATCAGTCCACCTGCAATGTGGCCTTGGTCCGTCAATCTCCTAGTGATCTCTGCCTGACAACGCCAACTGTTATGGCAATATTTATTTAACAAAGACAGAGATATGTGGTCCAACAATGAAGGTACTTCATGAGATGATCAGCTGAGTTTTATTGCAACAACAGGAAACACAGAGAACAACCTGGCCTGTCTCTGTGACAGTAATTAATAACCACAAAACATAGTTATCATCTCACAGAGTACCTTCATTCTTGGACCACGTATTTCTGTCTTCGCTAAATAAATATTGCCATAACATGAACAAAAACTGATGAAGCAATAAAAGTCTTCATTTGTGTGTGTTTTGTGGTTTTATGACACTTTTAGCATACATTTACCACCTGTCGGTTTCACTAATTAAATCCGCTGTGTTGGAGAGAGAAACCTGTAAAACATGCAGAAGGTAGAACAGGAGGGATGGACACCTCTGCTGTTGCCTCTCACCTCCAGATGGAGTCTGATAACCTTTGAGGGTATAAAAGTCACAGCTCCTGTTCAGAGAACAATTAGAAGGTGCAAGATCCTTTCTGAGTGCCCACTGGCTCTGCTGTCAACATCTTTAAATTTCTAAAGATGACTCGGGCAATGATGAGCAGCTGTTTTATCACTCTGACCATCCTGTTTGTTTGGCGTGTTCAGGAAGTGGCAGAAGCCTGCACCTGTGATGGTCCTGATCCTCAGGAGGCTTTCTGCAACTCAGATGTTGGTAAGTTTAACTATTTCACAATAAATCCATAAGTTTGGTTACTTTGACTGTATACTCAATTAAAAACACCTCACCCATAGTATTGCTCTAAAGCAGGGGTCTCCAAACTTTTTTCCTTAAGAGCTACTTTCACAAAATGAAATTATCTGAGAGGTACTTATTTTTTTTTTTACATTTTTTAACTTTTTTACAGAGGTACATTTTATTTTAAAGTTAAATCATTGGAATAAGCTTGTTTTGCAATAAAAATGTCTTCATTGGACTTATTCGCAGATAATGTTTAGCGCGAAGTGGCGCACAATGGTTTGTGAGATTATTCGGGGGCAAACAAAAGAAAAGTAAACAATGGGGCAGGTTATAATAGTTTAAAGTTTGGATTGTTGCACATTTTAAAATGTTTATTTTGGTTCGTGAAATACCAGCTTCTWATCATAAAAAGGACAAACTTGTTAAGAACTTTTACCTGCTCAAATGTTGAAATTAATGCCTAAAATAGCAACATGGAAATGCAAAATAGAGGTAAGGTTATACTGCTGTGCAATATTTTTACTCTTAATATAATGTAGTAATTACTATGGTATGGCACCATATTAAATATATTGCCAGAGAAAATCCCAGTATATAGTGGTCATATTAACAGCATTATGACCAGTGGAGCTGGGTGATAAAAAATTAATCTAAATATAACCTTGAGGCAGGCTGACCTGTGATTTAATAAATTCTGAGTATAAAATGTCCTTCTTGGCCACACATCAAATTTGGCTTAAATTTAATTAATTCAAAATACTTATTGCTGTTTTAACAGTGGAAAATGCATTTGTTATTGTGATCTGTAGCTTTCTGTTTTTTGTATATTATTGTTAATAAATAAACCGTACACCATTATATGGTCAAGTTTTTGACTGAGTGCATACAATCTTGTGCTTTCATTATTCTAAATATTAAAACTTGTTTTCATTTATCTGTGATCATTGTTGCACATATACACAAGTAAAACACAGTACACCACCCATTTTCAGTCATTTAATTCACACACCGGCACATGGTGCCCCCAAACTGGACCATGATGCTTTGCACTGGGCAAAGATGACGATATCCGTGAAATAGTCCATTCACATGAAACCATCACAAAGAAAACTGAATTAACATAAATGGGCTTTTTGTGTTTATCCATTCATATTCAGAGTTGTAAAGTAACTAAATACAAAACCTTTGTTACTGTACTTAAGTAGAATTTTTGGGTATCCAAAATTTACTTGAGTAATTATTTTTCAGCCTACTTTTTACTTCTACTTCTTACATTTTCACACAATTATCTGTACGTTCTACTTCTTACATTTTTTWAAAAAGGCAAGAAGTAGGAAGTCGTTACTTTTAGTTCATTTTTGCTCATTTTCATACCAGCCGCTTATTGTAAAAAATAAAAACTATCCATATAAATTGTGCCTCCTAGATGGAGTGAATTTAATGGTGGTTGAATGAGAAAAATAAATATCTAAAATTCTGATACCGTATTAGTTTGTACACAAACAAATCATGTCACACTCCAGCAGGACATAACCATTAAAATAAAAGGACTGTATTTAAGAAGTATTTGTATTTCATGAATTATATTATTGCGTTTGGCCCACAGCCCTCAGATAGATTTTCATTTTGGGGGAAAGGTTTCGGCACCCTTTTTAATCCGAAACAGCTAGACTAGTTCATCCTAAATGTAACATAAATTAATAAATTTAATACGATATAGTCATTTCTGCATTTTTTGGGGAGGTCACCTCCTAATAAATGTCATTACAGAAAATCTAACAGCTCATTTTAAATCAATACTTATACTT